GCCTTTCAAAGGATAGGCCTTCTGTTAACTCTTTTCTGCGCACCTGCATTTAAAACAAAATCCCAGAAAGTAAATAATGATTAATACAAAAAAAGTAAATGCTAATGTTGGCATTTTAGCCATAGGAGGATGGAGGAAGGGAGGTTTGAGTGGCCGGACATTCTTAGTGTCCTGGAACCACACTCCTTTAGCCTACCCATGTGCATATGTACAGTCAAGCCTGCATCTCTAGAGAGTTTACTTTGGAGTGACAGAAAAAGCCCTCAGTTCATGTCATGCAGTGCTTAAGCAGAAATATTGTCCCTGCACTGTAAGGGAAATGGCTTTTCCAAGCCTTGTGGCTTTTCAGCAACACTACCTCTCCACCCCCCATCAAAACTGCACAAGTTTCATCAGTCACAGTCTGAAGTAAAGATTGAGAGTATGTCAAAGGGGGGCAGGAAAGCACACACTCCTCTGGCACCCTCTCCAGCATCCAGCCTGCCCCCACGCAGCACAAGCCTGATCCCACTGTCAAAGCAATGTTGAGACTTCTTTAGTAGTTTCCTGATTGTCACTAGTTGATTTTACTCAACTTATGTCACAGACTACCCCTAACCTTTGATGCATACCACTGATGGTAATAAAAATAATAACAGCTAAATGCTTGTTAAGCACAAGTATGGACCAAGCACTGTGTGAAGCAATTTCACATACTACCTCTCAACAATCCTGAAGACAGGTTGGCCCCAGGTCACTAATAGGTGGCAGAGATGGAATATGACCCCAAGCCCTGTGACTCCAGAGCCAGCATTCTTAACTGCCAGCATGACTCCACTCGACAAAGACAACTCCAGGACAGAAGAGGTTTCCCTTCCCATAGGAGAGCCCTTCACATTCTCTGACCTGGATTGGGGGTGAGGTAGAATAGCATACTTCTTGAGGCTGAAGTTTAGGACAACAAAGAACCAAGTAACACAAACAAGTGGGGAGATTCCTGAACAAAGTTTCCTTTCAGTGGTCCCATCTTCCAGGGGACATTTCGAAATGCAGCTGCATTCCTGGCTGTCACAAGGAACAGGGGTGCCAGGAATGCAAAATATCCTACAATGGATAGAACAGTCTATGCTATGTCAACAGCACCCCCACTGACAAACACTACATAACAAACTGGCCCTTGTATACAGCTCCAGGGCTACAGAAGCAAGAGGCAATAGAAAAGATCATTTTAAGCTCACTGCTTTCGAAGCCTTACCTTATGAATCTTGAGCTTTTGTGAAGCACCTGCCAGGCAACCATATGGCCCAAGCCTGTTCCTCAACCTCAACATCTAGATTAATAATCTCCAAGGCATGGACAGGAGCCAGGCTCAGGCCCACAGGCTATTTGTCCAACAAGACACTTGGCTGCATCCTGGTCCAGGCAATGGGCAGACATAGGGCTATGCCAGCTGATTCTTGGACTAAGCACTTGAGAAATGTTAAGCAAGTCTCAGAAGGAAGGAGACTGTGGTCATTGCTCATTGTAGCTGTCATCAGCTCAGTTCTGTAGCGTCAAGCCCTCTGCTGAACATGGAGAAGATGGCAAGTCAGGTCGTGGGAAAACCATTCTTAGCGTTTGTGGGCTCTGAGGAAATATCTGCATTCTGGCACTTCCCCTCTCTCTCTCTGTCCTCAAACATATGCCCCTCAGTAAAGGCTCCAACTCAGGTCCCCAGGCCTCCTTTCTAAAAAAGGCTAATATTTATGAAATAAGTAAAGAGCGGTGTAGTCAAAAACCAACAATTAAGTCTATGTTGCAAGGCAACCTTTATATTATAGCTTAGCAGCATATGTCTGTTTTTCACTAATGCAATAAACCATTGATCTTCTGAACACTAAAACACTGCTCTTCCAATTTTCCCATCTCTGTCCCTTTCCTATAGAGCCTAAACATCTGGCCAGGAAAAGTATGATCGAAGAGTAAATCTAATTCATGAGGCACTTGATTTACTCGGTGATAAGCTTAAAGACTTCAATCTAGAACAGGATAAGGAAAGCAAGACTATTTATAGAGTCAGCGGTGATCTCCTTAATGATTGTATCCTTGTTCCCCTAGATCTCTTTGACAATTCTATAGGAAGCTATAAAGGAAGAGTGAATGGGTTGTTACAAGGCCTTAATACTTAGAGATATTAAACTGAATTATGTTCAAGAGCCAAAACCCTGAGATGGTGTGGTGTTTGTGGGAGCCTGGAAGGGTAGTAATGTATGACTATCAGACAGGATCAAAACATAAAACAATAGTGATGGCACCAATAAAGTAATCTCAAAGAAATAGTTATTGTTACGGAAAGGAGTATAAAAAAAAAGGCAGGTAAGAAACAAACTGTTAGGAGAATGGCAGACAGGGGAATAACGATTCTTGGCTCCTGATACTTTAACTGAAACTGAGAGATTTATTAAACAAACTTAGGATGAAGTCTTTTTTATTTTTAAAGGAGCTGTCATCAAGTTTTTACATACTTAAAAGTCGGCTACTCTCCAAAAGAGAAAAAATTAGTTAAACAATTTACATTAAAAATAGATAGGTCTGGCCCTAGCCGGTTTGGCTGTGGATAGAGCATCGGCCTGGAATTGACAGGTTCAATTCCAGTCAAGGGCACCAACCTTGGTTGCAGGCTCCTCCCTGTCCCAGGCCTTGGTTGTGTGTTTTGTGTGAGGCATGATCGATGTGTTTCGAGGAGGCAACCAATCAATTGTTTCTCTCACATCGACATTTCTGTCTTTCCCTCTCTCTTCCACTCTCTCTAAAAATCAATGGAAAAATATCCTCGGGTGAGGATTTTAAAAAAATAAATAGATAATTCTGGCCCTGGCCAGGTGGCTCAGTTGATTGGAGCATCATCCCATACACCAAAAGGTTGCATGTTCAATCCCTGGACAAGGCACACATGGCAGGCAACCAATCAATGTTTCTTTCTCTTCTCTTCCTCTCTTCTCTCTCCCCACTTCCTCTCTCTCTAAAAAAAAATCAATAAACATATCCTCAGGTAAGAATTAAAAAAATAAATAAACAGACTGATAGGTCTGGCAGTTATAGCGAAAGGCAGATTTAGCTAATGTAGACAACCCTCTACCTCATCTTCAATTCACAAACACTGAAAAATGCCAGATAAAATGCAGCATATTTGAAACTGCATAGCTCATTATGAGCTATTACTTCACATTCATTTGGACAGCTATTATCAAAACAACAGAAAATAAGTGTTGGTAAGGATGCAGAGAAATTAGAACCCTTTTGCATTGCTGGTAGATATGTAAAATATATGGTGATTTCTTTAAAAATTAAACACAGACTAGCATATGATCCAACAATTCCAACTCTGGGTATATACCAAAAAAAAGTGAAATCAGGGACACAAATGGATATTTATATACACATGTTCATAGCAGCATTAATCACAATCACCCAAAAGCAGAAGCAACCTAAGCGCCCATCATCAAATGAACAGATAGATAAAGTGTGGTATATACATACAATGGAATATTATCCAGTCTTAAAAAGGAAGGAACCCAGCCAGTGTGGCTTAGTAGTTGAGTGTCGACCTATAAACCAGGAGGTCACAGGTGGATTCCCGGTCAGGGCACATGCCTGGGTTATGGGCTCAATCACCCATGTGGGGTGTGCAGGAAGCAGCTGATTATGATTCCCTCTCATCATTGATGTTTCTCTCTCTCTCTCTCCCCCTCTCTTCCTCTCTGAAATCAATAAAAATATATTTTTTTAAGAAAGGAAATTCAAACACTTTCCACAACATGGATGAACCTTGAAGTCATTATGCTAAGTAAAATAAGCTAGTCACAAAAGGACAAATACTATATGATACTACTCAGTATTCAAACTCAGGAGGGTTATCTGGGTTGCAGAGGTCCCCTCTGAGGAGCAAGGGGTCCCAGGCCCACATCAGACACCCCAGCTTAGGGTTCCAGTGCCAGGAAGAGAAGTCCCCATAACTTCTGGCTGTTAAAGCCAGTGGGGTTTGTGGCTGAGAGAGACAGAGGGCTGCTGGAGACTCAGGTGTTCCTCTTCAACAACCCACATATAAACTTATTTGGACTCCCTCTGAACTGCAGTGCTGGGGCAGCAGCTCAAAAGGCACCCAGGACATCCAGGGAGGCACTGAACTATCTGGCATCAGGGTCAGCATGGGGTGCTATATATGAGTTTCTATGAACCTGGCTATGGCTGTTAGCCCACCATGGTGATTCCCTAAAACCCCACCCCACCCAACTTGCTGGGCCAACCCAAGCTGTTTCTAGTGGTTTTTCCATGCAAATGGTTTATTTTCAGACTGTTCTAAAATCTCTCAAACAAGCAGCATCTGGCCTCGGCATGCCCTGTACCTCCTGTTAAGTGGCCCTAGGCCTGGCACTCATAGCAGCCAGCCTTAGTTCACAACTTGGCTTCTTCTGGGCATCTCCAAGCCCAGCACAAGTAGCAGCCAACTGCAGATTGCTTTGTAGCTCATGCAGGGTGGCCTTGGATAGGGCACAGATGGTGGCTGACCTTGACCTGCACCTCCTGAAATGTCCCAGAGCCATGGCAGACAGCTGCAGATCACGTTGAAGCACCACCCAACCACCTCCACAAGCAACACACTCAAGGGGAAGACTCAGCGGGCACCAGAGCCCTGCTGAAGTAAGTTCTGCTCTGTGGAGTGGGCCCCAGAATAGCTGATTCTCCACAGTGGTCACAGCCAGTCCTCACAGCCAATCAACCTGAGGGTAAATCCCTCCCATTGAGGTGCCAACAGCAATCATCGCTCAACTACAACAGGAGGGTGCACACAGCCCACACAGGAGTGCACAACTGGAGTGCCCAGCTCAGGGGAATGGAGAGGCTGTGACACTGGATGCTACAGGACACCTACTACATAAGATTAGAACTCTTAGGGAAAAATATTTTCATTATTACTCCTTATTGTAAAAATCTTTCTTGTGTTCTTTATACCTGGATGAAATAATTTTTGAGACTGCTAAAACCAACAAATATAAGCTGCATTTATTGTGTAAAAATTAAGAATGGTTCAGGCTATATAAAGGTAGTTGGATGTAAAATGTGCTAAATCTCAGCTTCTAGAAGAGTTGATTTTGAACTCAATCACCCTTTGAGAGAAGACATACCAGCTCGCATAATTTCATCAACCAGGAGAATGTTCGCAGCAATCACTGTGCTGAAGAAAAAGATGACAGGGTGAGTAAAACCTCCAACTCACTCTTATCTTTTCTCCATAGCAATCTGCAATTACTAAAGGTACTTTGTTTTTCAATGATGTTGGTGTGAGATTTTCTGAGACACAGCTATTATAAATACAAACATTACCCTTGTATTATAAATTCAATTCTTTTGCTAATAAAGTGGAAGCCTGATTGTATTTTCCAGCAAAACTGACCTCATTTTTAGCACATTATTTGATTTTCCCACTGTGCATGGGTACTATTTCAGTAAAGTCATTTCTTTCCCTTTCCCCTCAAATAAACAGAAAGATTAACATTTCCTATAACTTACATTGCTAGAACTAAAATGTTACAGGGACTATAAAATGGCAGAAGCCAGTCTTAATAACTGAATACCATGCCTTTTCATACACTTAGCCATTTTTCCAATGCAGGATGACAAAAATAATAGAAAAAATTTAATGTTATCAATTATGTCCCCAAAAGTCTTTCTTTTATTAATACAAACTTACCAAGAGTGAAGAAGTTGTTTTTTCACACAATAATTATCCCAAACTCCTGCATCTGCAGCTACCATTGGCTCACCTGCAAAGTAAAAACAAGCTATTTTAATACTATAATCTACACTAATAAAAGAGAAAAATGGTAATTAGCGTACGACCGCTACCCTTCCCATTGGCTAATCAGCATATCCTTATGCAAATCAACTGCCAACTAAGATGGCGGTTAACCACCAACAAAAATGGCGGCTAATTTGCATACGCCCAGGCGAAAGGGGAAGGACTGAAGAATGGTGATCGGCAACCCAGGCGGCAGGCAAGAACTAGGGGGTGGGCAAAGGCCGCCTTTCCCCACCCCACAGCCGGTGATCGCCATTGGAAAGCCGGGCAGCAAACCCGACCCCAGGGGCTGGGGTTGCCGGCTGGCCTGTGCCGAGCAATGGTGGCGACCGGAGGCATGAGGGCTGGGGCGCAGGCCAGGCGGCAACCCCAGACCCCCCGGGGGCCGGGGTTGTCGGCTGGCCTGTGCCCAGGATCCCCATGGCATCGGAGGGCAGGAGGGCCCAGGTGCAGGCCAGGCGGCAACCCCGGACCCCACTGGGGCCGGGGGTGTCAGACATCCTTCTGGGAAGAAAAAGATGACAGGGTGAGTAAAACCTCCAACTCACTCTTATCTTTTCTCCATAGCAATCTGCAATTACTAAAGGTACTTTGTTTTTCAATGATGTTGGTGTAAGATTTTCTGAGACACAGCTATTATAAATACAAACATTACCCTTGTATTATAAATTCAATTCTTTTGCTAATAAAGTGGAAGCCTGATTGTATTTTCCAGCAAAACTGACCTCATTTTTAGCACATTATTTGATTTTCCCACTGTGCATGGGTACTATTTCAGTAAAGTCATTTCTTTCCCTTTCCCCTCAAATAAACAGAAAGATTAACATTTCCTATAACTTACATTGCTAGAACTAAAATGTTACAGGGACTATAAAATGGCAGAAGCCAGTCTTAATAACTGAATACCATGCCTTTTCATACACTTAGCCATTTTTCCAATGCAGGATGACAAAAATAATAGAAAAAATTTAATGTTATCAATTATGTCCCCAAAAGTCTTTCTTTTATTAATACAAACTTACCAAGAGTGAAGAAGTTGTTTTTTCACACAATAATTATCCCAAACTCCTGCATCTGCAGCTACCATTGGCTCACCTGCAAAGTAAAAACAAGCTATTTTAATACTATAATCTATAATAATAAAAGCATAATATGCTAATTAGACCGGATGTCCTTCCCGACGACCTTCCGGGGGCTGAGGCAGAGGTGGCCACCACGGCGGCAGGGGCCAAGCCCCTTGCACGAATTCCATGCATCGGGCCTCTAGTGTTAATATATTAACATTTGTTGTATATTCTAACAATATTTAATATACCACCAAAACTGCTATTGTCACAGTAACCAATGACCTCCATGTTGTCAAATCCACTGGTCGATTCTCAGGCCTCATCTATCAGCAGCACTTAACAGTATAGGATGTTAACACACCTGATCATACCCTCCTGACTGTTCTTCCTCCACTTGTCTTCTAGGACGGCAAACTTGCCTGTTTTTTCTTTTGCACTAGTGGCTCCTTTTCTGTCTGCTTTGCTGCTTCTTCCTCTTCTTCCCTGAGCTCTTACTGTTGGAGTACCTAAAAGCTCAGACCTGGATTCTTCTCTTCTCTCTACACTAACTTAGATGATCTCATCCAGTCTCTACTTAAACCATATACACTCCGATGACTCTCAAGCTTTCATCTCCAACCCAGACCTCTTTCTTGAGCTCCAGACTCATACATCCAACCGTCTATTTTACTTGGAAATCTACAGATACTTCACACTTAACTCTGAAAAACTTAATACTGGTCACCACCACCCACTACAACCTGCTCTGCCCACAGTCTTCTCCAATGGCAATCCCGACCTTCTAGTTGTTGTTCAGTTAACTCCTCTGCACAGAGTAGCCAGTGATCCTTTTAAACATAATTAGGCCATGTCACACCTCTGCTCTAAATTGCTCCCTATTCCACTACAGTAAAAATCCGGGTCCTTAGACTGGCCTATATGCCCCTACATGACTTTGTACTACCTCCCCAATCTCCTTCCTCCTCCTCTAAAATATCAGACAATGATTTTTTCCACTGGCCAGTCCCTCTGCCTATGATACTCCTTCCTCAGAGCCCCACACGGCTACATTCCTCACTTTTTTTTCTCAACAGACATATTCTCATTGATGACCATCCTCTTTAAATTGAAACCCCCTCCCAACCCTCCTGTGCTAACATTCACAATCATCCTATATTGTTATTTTATTTTTTTCATAGAATTTATTACTCTTAAAAAATGCTAAAAATAACTTACGTATGAAGTTTATTTTTTACTGTCTATCCTTGCCCACTACAACATAAGCTCACAAGAACAAGGACTTTTGTCTGTTTTGCTCTGTGTGAATTCCAAGAGTCAAATAACAAGCACTCAATGACTATTTCTTAAATGAATGAATAATTTAAAAAGTTCAAAAGTAAACTAAAAGGCACCCAAAATTTAAATATTAAAATCATCCAAACTTCCACCCCCTTACTAAGTTCTGGGTCACTATAGTATAACATCTTTCTTTATTAAGCAGCTAATTTTTCTTCATTTTCTTACCTGTATTCAAATCAATACCAACAGGTTGTTCTGATTCTAAATGCTCAGCCTGAACTTTTACTAGTGTTTCCTGAGGGTCATAACCAGAATTCTGAGCAAGAACCTGGAGAAATAAAAATAACAATAAATGTATGCGTGGAATACCTTCACATATATATGTAGATATCATATATTTTTTAAAAAGGCACTGCTCTCTAGTCTTGGGAAAATATATTCACAATATAATAATCAACTCCTTTTGAGGAATTTCATTCTTAATCTAAATCAAATGATTATTTTATATATCTAGCATTTTTATATTTACTTAAATATTTTCCCTATGTACAGCACACTAAATTCTGAGTAGGGTATTAGAGTTCCCCCATCCCCACCCCAATAAATTAATTTCCCTCTTTGCAAAAGATTTTAAAAACAAAAGACATGAAAGGAAGTAGAATGGTATTCTTGTTTCCTCTAGTTCTTCTAGCCACATGTCTTCCAGTTTTTCCTGGGCACTTACAAAAGGAAGCCTGCATATTTGCAGCATCTTTGTGTTCCTCATCAACAAGAGGAGAGTCATGACCTGTGGCAACAGGGATGGAGATACCTGCAGTCCAACCCAGGTTTACTGCAAGTGGTCCCAAACCAACAGTTGATGAGTAAAAAGGTATGACCAATGTATACTAGGTTTACCAATTTGCTTCAACTAAAGGATCATTATTTATTGACTTTGCTGCTTTGGGGAAAGAAAACCTTAGATTTCTGATTCACAAAGATTCCACAAATTATGAATAATTTTAAAGCAATTATCAAACAGACTTTGCTAGCATTGTTAGTAATGTTGTAATTCATGGTAACAGCATATTTGAAAGTTTTTCTGTGCTTCTAAGTGGTTTATAACCAGGTTAAGACAAAAGCAAAGGGATGTTAGTTCTCTGTCCTACTGATACATGAAAAAATATTTGGTGTCTCTCCTTTTCTAAGGAATTATAATGAAAATGGAATGCAAGGTCATATTTGGGAGTGCTAAACATCCTGAAGTTCTCACTTTGCACAATTTAAAGTGATAATACTTTGGATACCATCAACAAAATAAAGGTCTACTCTAAAATCTAATTAAATCTTAAATTGTAAACTTTTTCATTATGATTAGTTAATCAAGCAGCATTTTTGAAGGAAATTTTTGGAATTACTTCAACTTTTGGAACTCAGAGAACATCAGTAAAGCAAGGGGGTAATTTGGCTATTTCATTAAACTCCTATAAGGATTCTGAGCTGTTATTCCAAAAGTTTCCCTGCTTTAGCTATAAAAACATCTTAGACAAAACTGTGAGTAAATGCAAATAAATATGTCTGCTGTTAGATAATATATGCAAATTATAATGAAACGCCTTATGTCTAACCAGTTGTTCTTTGGCCATTAGGATAGTTGTACCTTAGGAATAATGAGTAAGGCATCAGCAAAAGCTTGGACTCCAAGGCGAGCTCTTCCTTTTATACTGTGCTTGTACTTCATAAGAGCTTCAGCTATTGCCACTTCAACTGCACCAGCTCCTGGAACCACACAACCTATTGGAAGCGAAAAAAATTGACAAGACATGCCATACAGAAAAAGAAAACAGAAAAAGGCAACTAGCTATTCAAGTGTGCTTTATTATCTTGTCTATTTCTAAAATATATATAAATATATACAGAAGTAAAATAAGTTGCACAGCTCAGTGATTACTCAGATGTCTTTTTACCATTATTTCATATCTATCTTTTTGTTTACCAGATAAATCTGGCCTATTTTTATAAAATTTATTACTCTATTTTTGAGATATAATTCACATACCATAAAATTCAGCTTTTTAAAGTTATACTTTTCAGTAGTTTTTAGTATATTCACATGAATGTGCAACCATCACCCCTATCTTATTCCAGAACATTTAAAAAAACAACAACAACAACAACCCTGTATCCATTCACAACCAGTCTCTATTTCCCCTTTGCCCAGCCCCTGGCCACCACTAATTTACTCTTTGTCTGTATGTCTTTGCTTTTCCTGGATATTTCGTATAAGTGGAATCACATAATACATAGCCTTTTGTGTCTAGACTCTTTTACTTAGCATAATGTTTTCAAGGTCGTCATGTTGTACCATATATCAGTATTTATTCTTTTTTGTGGTTAAATAACACTCCATTGTATGGGTATACCATTTTTGTTTATACATTCATTAACTAATGGATATTTGAATTGATTCCACTATTTGGTTATTATGAAAATGCTGCTGTGAACATTCAGTTACAAGTTTTTTGGGTGGATATGTTTTCAACTCTCTTGTGTATATACCTAAGAGTTGATTTGCTGGTTCACACAGTAACTCTGTGTTTAACTTTTTGAGGAGCTGCCTAACTGTTCCCCATGAGCAACTGTATATGAGGGTTCCAACATTTATTATTGTCCAGGTCTTTGACCATAGCCATCCTAACATGAAATGGTATCTCTTTGTAGTTTTTATTTTTATTTCCTTAATGACTAATGATGTTGAGCATCTTTTCATGTGCTTATTATTCTATTTTAAACGTGTGTTTTTATTGAATTATTTATCCTAACTCCTTTCAAAAGGTAGCTGGTTATAAATTATCATACACACACACACACACACACACACACACACACACACATATCTACACTAATAAAAGAGAAACATGGTAATTAGCGTACAACCGCTACCCTTTTCATTGGCTAATCAGTGAGTATAAAGCGCCCCAACTCCCCAATCAGCCCTGCTCTGAGCCTGACCAGGGGCTGCACTTAGGGATTGGGCCTGCCCTCTGCCACCCGGGAGCAGGCCTAAGCCAGCAGGTCGTTATCTCCCGAGGGGTCCCAGACTGCGAGAGGGCACAGGCCGGGCTGGGGGCCCCCCCTCCCCCGCCCCCCGAGTGCACAAATTTTTGTGCACCAGGCTTCTAGTATATGTATAAAAGCCTAAGTGACCAAACAACCAAATGACCAACCGATCACTATGATGCACACTGACCACCAGGGGGCAGATGCTCAACACAGGAGCTACCCCCTGTTGATCAGTGTGCTCCCACAGCAGGAACACCACTCAGCTGACCTACGGGCACCAGATGCCGGGCTCACAGCTGGCAAGCATGGCTGTGGCAGCACGAGCCTCTCCTGCCTCCACAGCAGCGCTCCTGAATGGTGGCAGTGGTGGTGGCAGGCACAGTGGGGCCAGGATGAGCAGGAACAGCGCAGTGCCCGGCCCAGGATCAGGCTCCTCCCTGGCCGCCTGTCGCTTTGCGCACTACTACATCCCCCGAGAGGTCCCAGATTGCAAGAGGGTGCAGGCCAGGCTAAGGGACGCCACCAATGCACGAATCTGTGCACCAGGCCTCTAGTTAAATAATAGCTAATATTCTTCCCGAATCTTTCTTTTTTATTTTTTTATTTTTTTCACTTACAGTTTAGATTCAATGTTATTTTGTATTAGTGTCAGGTGTCTAGCATAGTGGTTAGACAATGATAAACTTTACACTGCACCTGAGGTAATGAAATTCGTTCTAAGCAGTAAAAGCTTCTTATGGTTTTAAAAATTAAAAAATGATAATACAGCATTAAATTAAGTGCTTTTCATTTCATAAATAGAAGATAATTAAAATGGCAACATACTATTAACAATATTCCAAAGGGAAAAACCGTCACAACCCAAACTATAAATTGCCCAAAGTAAAATGAAATAATAGTTATCATTAATATATTTTAAGATAGTATACATACCAGATAGATTTATTACCACTTTAAAAATATGAGAGTTTCATATCCATCACACAAAAAACAACTTACCATCTTCAATGGCATTTCGAATGGCACGAAGTCCATCCCTTACAGCATCCTTGATTTGTGTGAGAGTATGCTTATTTGGTCCCTTAACCAACAAGGTGACAGAGCGAGGGTTAACACAGTCCTCAACAAAAGTGAACTTTTCTTCACCCTAAAGGATAATACAAGAAGATATAACTTTAATATGTAATGTCATTATGTCAATCTTCTTGTGAATTTTTCTTGTCAAACATAACTAAATATATGTTAAAAGCAGATAAGTTATATTTAAACTCTTAATATTTAGGTAAATAAATTATAAAATCTATCCTGTGTATTATTCAGACTTCAAAATGTAAAACCTGAATTAAAAGTTTCAATATTTAAAAAAGGAGGTAGTTTACTGTTTACTTTCTAACCACTGCCCCCAAAGATACTCACTAATGCATATTCGTGTACAATACCAGCATGTCCCAAGCAATCTACACTGAGGTCTTCAAGAGAATTCAAAGCTATTCCACCACAAGCAAGAGTGAGTCTGAAATTACATGTATGTCAACATAGCTTTGGTTATGGAAAACATAAAGACTAATTTCTTAAAGGTGAAAAGATATCTAACATGGAAGACTTCATTGTCACTGTATTATATTGCTTCTAAATCTGTTTTAACGAAATAAATAAATAAATAAATAAATAAATAAATAAATAAATAAAATCTGTTTTAAGAAGAAGAAAACTGCCCAGCCAGTCTGGGTTGAGTGTTGACCTATGAGCCAGGAAGTCACGTTTTGATTCCTGGTCAGGGCAGCTGATCAATGATTCTCTCATCTTCATTGATGTTTCTATCTCTCTCCTCTCCCTTCCTCTCTGAAATCAATAAAAAAAATTTTTTTTAAAGATGAAAACCTTTCTTATATTTCAACAAAGTTTTGAGGTAGGTTAATCTTGATTTTTGACAATTACATTATTTACTGAAATCAGAAACAAAATTTGAAATTTGTACACTACTATTTTGCTCAACAATGTTTGCATATAAGCTAAAAGGAAGATATGGGATAATTTCAAATTAATCTGTTAATAAACTTACCTTTCCATATTTCTTCTTTTTGCTCTACGAAGAGCTACTATATCATGTTTTGCAAGTGCATCTAAGGACAATGGATCAATTCCCTATAATCAAATTAGCACAAAAGTTACAAGCATGTTTTAAGCTAGTGGTCCTAAAACTTTCTGATCTCATCACTGCTTCACACTCTTAAAAATTCTTAAGCCCCTAACAAAATAATCTGATGAACAGTAATAGATCCAGAGACATAGAAGGAAGCATGGAACAGACTGTTGAACCTCAGAGGGAAGGTGTGGGAGGGGTGGGTGGGAAGAGATGCATAACCCGTGGACACAGACAATAGGGTGGTGAAGGCCTGGAGTGGGGAGTGGGGGTGGGCTAGAGGAGGTCAATGGGGGACAAATGTAATACTTCCAACAATAAAAATTTTAAAAAGATAAAAAATAAAAAGCCCCAATGGAAACAGAGAGAGGTGCTGGGTCAGGGAGCAGCAGGGGCATGCAGCTAGAGCCCCAATGGTATGGCTCAGTGGTTGACTGTCAACCTATGAACCAGGAGATAATGGTTCAATTCCCAGTCAGGGCACATGCCCGGGTTTCGGGTTTCGATCATTGATTCTCTCCCATCACTGATATTTCTATATCTCTCTCCCCCTTCCTCTCTGAAATCTATAAAAATACATATTTTTTAATTATTAAGAGCCCAAAGCACTTTTATGTAATCTGTACCTGTAATATTTATCATATCATTAAAATTGAGGAATTTTAAAATATTTATTAATCTATTTAATATAATAAGAAACCATTTATGTTAACATAAATAACATTTTTTAATAAAAATTTACTCTAGTTTCCTAAACAAACAAAAAATACAGTGAGGGTGAGACACTGTTTTAGATTTTTATAAATCTTTTTAATGTCTGTTATATATGTTTTTTATTTTTTCTATTGATTTTTTCTTTAAGAGGGAGAGGGAGAGGGAGAGGGAGAAGGAGAGGGGAAGGGGGAGGGGGAGGGGGAGGGAAGCATGGATATGAGAGAGACATCAATCAGTTGCCTCCTGTACACACCCCTACTGGGGATTGAGCCTGTAGCCTAGGCATGTGTCCTGACCAAGAATCTAACCAGCAAACTTCCTTGCAGGGGATGATGCTCAACCAACTGAGCCACACTGGCCAGGGCTTTAATGTCTGTCTAAATAGAAGACAGCTGGATTCTCCTATCTGCTTCTGCATTCAATTTGGTGCAATATGTTGTTTTGTCTAAAGTATAAGAAGAAAACCTGGCCTCACAGAGACATATATTAGAAAAGAGAGGAAGAAGTGTGTGGGGGAGAGACCAAGATGGCGGCATAGGTAAACATATTTTAATAGCCTTTTCAGATAAACGTGGACATTCTTCTTTGATACTATACCAAAACTCAGTAAGTGGTCAGTTTCAATGTGGAATATGGAACCATATCAATGAACTCTGCATACTCTGCAACATTGAAATCCATTTGTCTATCTTGCACTTTGAATTGATTGTTAGGCATTTAGAAAATATTGGTTCACTAAGTTAGGCAGAGCTTCCAAATGCTGACATATTCATGGTAATACAATATCAAATATGTCACCTTTGCTAATATCATCACAAATGTTATCAGAAAAGCCTTTTAAACATAGGAAAGCTGTCAAGTTCACAGTGGCAGATACAGGTTTTCCAAAATTCTAATTTTTGTTTGAAGGCTCAAATGTTATCACTGGAAACAAATACCGTCAGTTGTTTTCCTTCAAGTGGCAGGATTGCTGCATTCATTTCTTAGAAGAAACTACCAAGCACCCATGTCTAAATAAATATAGTTTGTCAGTCATCCTTTCAAGTAAAAATGCATTGCATGATTCTCAATTACACAAGAGCTTTCCTTCGACACAACCATATTTCGATATGCCACAAAAGTGTTTTGTGCATACTTCATATTTTGTCACACAGAATTATTTAAGGATCAACATTTAATAAAATTAATAAGCTTTACTACTTCATAAAGGCATTCTTAAATGAACTCCCTTTTTTTTAAACTGCCAGTGTGTGGTAGTATGGCAATAAAGCGTATGATGACTACCAGTATAGTTTGGTGCTACTGCTTTGATTTGTGCTAAGGCATCAGCAGTTTTGCATCATCATTGCAAATGTCAACACAATATAAAAAGCATTATTACTAATATTATGAAAATAGTTTTGTCCTCACCATCTCCCTGAAATGGTCTTAGGGATTCCTTCACGTCCACAGACCACACTTTGAGAAACACTAAAGAACATTTACAAATAGTTAAAATCTAAACATTTTTTCTCACCTTTTGATTAATAACAACAAATCCTTTGTTGGAATGAGCACAGACTTTTTCTTTCAGGTCTATTATTTTTTGTACTCTATCATCAATAAATTTTCTTTCAGCTTTTACCAATTTCTCTTTTTCTTGAGCAGTCTTATAAAAGAAACCAGAGCTCACCTCTCTAAAAAATTAATAAAAACAAGCTAGTAAAGGCAGTGGGGAGAAGAGGAAAAGGTAGGAGTTTACACTAAACAGTGGGAGGAAAGAAAGAGATTAAAAAACACTTTTAGAAAAAACAGTTTCAAATGTTATAAAGAGTAAATGACATACATACGTTTTTTCATATTCTAGTGATACATTGCAAATAAGGATATATGCATCTTCTACTCGCTTCTTCATTTCTGGGTGACGGGCACCATGATCCAAAACTAATCCTCTGATTAACCTATTAAAAATATGTAATGTTTCTTACCTTCTTTGAATATACACTCTAAAATTTGATATAAAATTAGAATTATACTTTTTTAAAGATATTTTTATTTATTTCTGAGAGGAAGGGAGAGCGAGATAGAAACATCAATGATGAGAGAGAATCATTGATCGGCTACCTCCTGCAAGCCCCCAACCGGAGACCAAGCCCACAACCCGGGTACATGCCCTTGGCTGAAATCAAACCTGGGACCCTTCAGTCCACAGGCCAACGCTCTAGCCACTGAGCAAAACCAGCTAGGGCTAGAATTATACTCTTAAAGGTGTAACAGAACTTCTAGGGCATACACCGTTTCCTTACGCCAACTTTAATCCTAACACACAATTAGTAAAATTGGAAAAGATAATCTACTTTACACACTGTGACTGTTAAGTCACAATGAAATCAACCCAGAATTATCCTCTAAATTATGTGGCTCAAACATATGACACAGCTGATCAAGTAATGAAAGGTAGGCACACAATGAGCTTCTAAGGAACATTTATTTGTTCAAAATAATTATATGGAACAACTGAAAATTGTTAATCTAAATGTCCAACAATAGAGTACTATTCAGCAAATAATGGCCCAGATATTTCAGTCATAAAAACTATGCAATAACATGGAAAAATATTTACAGGGATGGCTGATAAACACAGAGTGACAAATTGCATATAAAACATGATTATAACTGTTCTTTAAAAAAAATAAGCACTTAGGCATTGAAAAGAAAAAAAAAATGAAAGAAAATTAAAGAGTAGGCGCTTATGCTTGAGTGGTTAGGAACACAGATCATGTTGAGGGGTCTTTTTTCCTGTTTTCTAAATGTTCCTTCAAGAGTAAATATCTTTGTAACTCTTCAAAATTCATTTATGCCCAATTAGGGAATGGCATTTCTACTGAATCTTTTATAACCAATATTTGTTATACATTAAAGATATAATTTTTTGAATAGTTAAATATAAGGAAGTTTTCAGTTTTAGTCTAACTAGATTACTCTAACTCCTAACTTAACGTGAAGATATTTTAATTAGGAAGAAACAAACTACATGTTCAATATTCTTCACTCTTCAAACATCCTTTACTGTTCCCCCCACCTCACTCTCAGCAAATGTCCTTGCTTCTTCAAGAAAAAAAGAAACACTGTCCCATCACTACCTCTTATGAATCCACCAGCACTTGAACCCGAACCTCCTATGATTACGAATGATCTGTCCTTGCTCTTCTCTAAGGTTAACTCCTCCACTTGTGTACTGTATTCCTTTCCCCTCTCTGTTCCTGCATTGTCCCCTATTCCCTTACACTAAGTCTTTCTGCCTAAAGGAGCATTCTCATCAGGATACTAATGTGCCATAATTCCCATCTTTAAAACAAAGGATTCTTTGGGCCCGGCTGGCACGGCTCAGTGGTTGAGCATCGACCTGTGAACCAGGAGGTCACAGTTCAATTCCCCGTCAGGGCACATGCCCACGTTGCGGGTTTCCGGGCTCTGTCCCCAGTAGGGGGTGTGCAGGAGGCAGCCGATCAATGATTCTCTCTCATCACTGATGTTTCTATCTCTCTCTCCCTCTCCCTTCCTCTCTGAAATCAATAAAAATATATATTTTTTAAAGGAATCTTTGGGTTGAAGCCCCATTCCCATGTTCTCTTCTAGCTACTACCCTATTTCTCTCCACCCTTTTGTGGATAAACTCCTCTGAGTTGTCTACATTTGCATCCTCACTTCTTCCCAAACCATTCTCTTGAGCCCACTTCAATCTGACTTTCATGTCCACCCCTTTACTGAATGAACTTTCATTAAAGTTACCAAAAAACTAAATTTTTCCCAAATCTAATAGTCAATTCTCAGTTCACAACAATTTGCTCAAAATTTCAGCAGCATATGACATAGCTTATTATTCTCTCCTTCTTGAAATACTTTCTTCTCTTACTAGTAGTTTCTGGGACACTACCCTCTCTTGGTTTTCCTCCTATCACACTGGCCACCCCTTCTCAGTTTCCTTTGCTGAATGCTCCTTATCGTCTCAATTCCAAATACTGGAGTGTACCAAAGTTCCCAATCCTTAAATTTCTGCTTTTCTTCATCTATATTTACTTCCCAGATGATCTCATCAACTCTTGCAGCTTTAGGTCATCCGTACACTGATGACTTCCAAACATGTATTTCCAGTCCAGACCACTATGTGCACTCCAGAACATTTCTCCAACTTTTACTCAACCACTAATAGGCATCTAAAAATACAACATTCCCCAAACTGAACTCCTGATTTATTTCCCCAAACCTGCTCCTCCCAGTCTTCTCCATGACACCTCCAGTTTTCCAGCTGCTCATGCAAAAACCCAAGAGACATCCTGACTCCTCTGTTCCTGCCACATTCTATGTCAAATCACCAAGAAGTCCTCTTGCTCCTTCTAAGTATACCCTGATCTAAACCATTTTCATTTCTCACCTATTAGCACAACAGATTCCTAACTGGTCTCCTACTTTTGCCCTTACACCTCCCACCCCACTCCAGTGTATTCTCCACATAACAACCACAGAGCTCCCTCTGAAATATAAATCAAAAACTGGTTGCCCTCAACAATAGTAAACTAATTTGGACCAACACCAATACCAAAAACAATGTTGGGTTAAAAACAAGAAAACCTTTAAATGCTAGAAAGCTATAAGATAATAAAGAGTCACAAAATAATTTTCTTTTCAAAACTGAAAGGAAAACCAGAACTCTAAGAGGTAAGTAGAGAACTGTGGGATCTCCTACTGCAAAGTCATTTGACAATTCAGGCAAATCTGAACTTTGGTTTCAATGACCTCACAATGAGAGGGGGCAGAATTAAAAGTTCAAAGTTCATCCAAGGTACAGGGTCTAATAGAAGGCCCTCTTCACATTAAGTGGGAACCTCAATAGGCTATATACTCAGGGCATAAACCAGAAGGATGAACTAAAAGCAAGCAGCCCTCACATGAATTTGCAGTTAGAATTCACAACTGGATATTCCCAAAAAGCCTCAGATGTGGATGTAATTTAGTATCTGGGCTCCTTACAGCAGCAAATTCAAAATTCTCTGCAGAAAAGCACCTTCATCCTAGGTCTCAAATTATTTCTACAAATACTTTTTTCAAACATAATGAGTAGCACATATAGAAATAAAGTATGATGTGTGAGAAACAGCAAAATACAATAAACACCATAAATAGACAAGCCAGACTTTAAATAACGTAATTATCAGACATGGACTATACAGTGTGGGGCAAAAGTAGGTTTAAAGTTGTGAGTATGCAAAAACAGTTTATTCTTGCATTATTATTTATTAATATTGTATTATTTACTTGTTTTACAACTGTAAACCTACTTTTGTCCACCCCTGTATGTTTAAAGAAATAAAATGTAAGTTTGGGAAGATATGCAAGGAATAGGAAACCATAAATAGTGACATGGCAAATTTAAAAAACAACCAAACAGAACTTCTATAAATAAGTAAAGATATATATACATATTTTAAAAATAAAGTATTTACTGATGAATTATGATATCTGGACTGGCTTCAGAATAATCCAAGTTTAGGGCAGGGGAAAGAGAAAATGAGTCTATAAGGGTTTTTTTAGCCATCATCTGAAAATAGATAAAGATGAGTGACAGATATGTCACTATTCTATTCTACTTTTATATATGTTTAGAATTTTCCATGATAGAACATTTAAAATTAGTTAAGTCCCAAATCAACAAGATGCCATATACTCTGAGTATATACATACTCAGACAATGTCAATTGCATGGCCCCTCTTACCTCATCATCTGCTACAACTTTTTCCTCTGATTCTGCTCTAGGCACAAAGGAACACACAAGCACATTTCTGCCTCGGGGCCTTTTCAACTATTATTCCCTCTGCCTAGAATACTCTACTTCCAGATATTCAGAGACCTCCTTAGTTCTCTAGTTTAGTTTCATGTCGCTCTAAAATCACACTTTTTCTCACACACACAGTTACTCTAGCATTTAATATCACTTATTTGTTTACTATCTCCAACTAGAAATGTAAGCTTCTTGGAGAAAGAAACTGGCTCTGGTAAGTATCCAATTAATATATGTCGAATGAATAACCAATGAAACTAATGAAAGAGTATCTGAAGATAACCAAATATTCTAGAATCTATGTATTGCCAAAGTTTATGTAATTTACTTTGTATCTGTTTCTGATTTGTGCTTCATCTCCATGATTTCTACCATGAAGAGATCAATAGGATAACCCGGTCTTGTAATAGCCAACACAGAATCCACCACGGCCTGAAAGAGAAATGAATGAGAACAGTAAGTTATTTGGACTACTAGAGAACACCACTGGTCCAGGTAATCTATCACCAGACTAAGCAGGCAAAGAGCTTCAGGCTCCAAAACACGGGGCAAGGCCAAAAAGGGCCTCTTGGTCATAGACATTAATAATTACAGCCTACAGGGATTTCAGAGATCATCAAGTCCAAACCCTTTATTTTACAGATAAGGAAACTAAGACAAGAGTTTAAGAAGTTATGCTCTTGCCCAGCTGGCATGGCTCAGTGGTTGAGCATCAACCCAAGAATCAAGAGGTTCGGTTCCTGGTCAAGGCACATGCCCCAGTTGCAGCCTCAATCCCCAATATGGGGCATGCAGGAGGCAGCCGATCTCGATGTTTCTCTCATCGATGTTTCTTTCTCTCTATCCCTCTCCCTTCCTCTCTCTCTAAAATTAATAAAAACATATTTTTAAAAAATAAGTTATGATCTTAAAGATCTTAAAACAAGTAGTAGCCAGCCAGGACTAGAATTCAGGTCTCTGGAACTGCCAAGCCACTGCTCCTACTATACCAAAACTGCTCAAACTTTTCCACCAAAGGACACCTTAATAAAAAAGAAGGGAATCTAACATAAGGGTAGAGCTCAAATTTGCTAGCTATTAACAATAGGAAATTTTTAAGTCTTGTGTTTTATCATGAACACTTTCCACGTCATGACATTATACATACATGTTTGTTTTAATGTGAAATAATACTTTTCTTCAAAAATCATAAAGTAAAATTGACACTTCAGAAAGATGTGTTTCATTTATTCTGTTAAATATCGCCAGGTATATGCAATTTGAGAAACAGCCCAATACACCCGTTGTTTAGCTCAGAGAGTAACATAAAATGACCACAGAAATAAAGTGCTACAGTATAACCATCCTAAAATGTAAATAAAGCAAAAAAACAAACAAACACAATTTCTTAGAAAGATTACTTGATGTAGTATAATATTTGGTTTTGGAGCCTAATAGGATATGACAAAAAAAATATTGGATAGTGAGAGTATCAGTGTTTGTATAACTCCAAAAGGAAATGTGGGGCCCTAACCAGAGAGCATGAAGATTCTGAGCAACTTGCTATATGTATTCCAACAGCAAAAATTACAGCAGTCTTTATTTAGACTCTGCTCAGTAAGAAATTGTCTGATTGTAGTCTGATATCCCAAATAGGTTTTCCTGTTGGTAAGGAGAATTTACCAGAAATAACAAGTATTCCAGTCCATTTGTGATTTATATTCCTCAAAGTAACTTAGTATGACAGCATTCTGACTTATATGTCAATGTCTTGTGAATTTGGTTATGAAATCATCATTCCTAATACATTAATATATTCAAATTTCAGAAACTGCAAAGCTAAGGAGCAATGATATAACTAAACCATAGCCCCTTGATAAAAGGCTTCCCAAAACACCTAATCTTGTCCTTATATTACATACATTCTACCTTTAGAAGTGATCAAAACAAATTATGCAGTTCCCAGAAGTATTAGCAAATCAATCGTGCTTCATTAAAGTTGCAACCTTAACTACAAAGCACACTGTCAAAACAGCCTCTCCAGGTATAACCTCATGTAGTTAACATGAACCTCTAGGTATGAGACCAGTACTTCACTCCACTGGCTTCCACAGGGGATGAGCCAGAGGCAGCCAAGGACCCCTCAACTTTCAAATTAACTTAAAAGAAGGCTTAATGTAATACTGTTGAAAAAAAATTATACATACTGTTCTGACCAGTCAAATCTAGTAAGCAAGTCTATAATGTTTGTCTTCCATAATTTATTTTACATACAAAAAACCACATGCAATAGTTGAATATCTTATAGGAAAAAGAAAAATATCACCATGTGTCAGGCTATACTCTTTCTGAATGTAAAAAATTAATCACATACCTCTATTAACACATCAGCCAGTTCAGCATGAACTTTAGTTTGTAGAGATGTTCTAGCCACCTCTAAGAGGATATCCCTTTTCATCTCTTTTTTAATTTTAATTTCTTCCAAAACATCAAGTGCTTTTTTCTTTGCCGCTTCAAACCCTTCAGCTATTATTCTAGGGTGCAAGCCCTATTAAAACAACATAAAACTATAAATTATAAAGTAACTCATCCAAAGTAAAAGTAACCATCCTTTCCTATTAATAGGTATGTCTGCAAAAAGTAATAGTACATCAATGCCACTAAATATAAGTGTATGATATAATTTATAAAAGTAGTTTTTCAGTGCTTCACATTTAAAACAATCTCAAACTTACAGAAAAATTCTAAGTCTAGTACAAAAAAACTACAAAAGTCCTTTTTATTTCTGAAAATTATGACACATTGATATCATATGGTCTTAATATATCATAATGGGCACAAAAGAAGTCCTTTTAATGCAGAGAAAAAGAATCAGCACTGGCTTAGAGAGAAGTGGCAGACAGACACCACCCTCATTAAATGTTCAAAGTTAACACCACAGTCATGGGACAAATAGACATCATGTGCCTCATGATATGATGCATTAAGAACACTATAGCACTTCTATGGCATTCCTGCCAAAAGTTTATAACCTGAGTCTAATCTGAGGAAACAGTCAAATCCAAATTGAGGGACTTTCTACAAAATAAATGGCCTGTACTCTAAAAATAATACTACCATGAAGCACAAATGACGGCTCAGGAACTATTCCAGCTTAAAGGAAACTAAAGAGACATGACAGCTGAATGTAATGCATGAACCTAGATTTTCTTCTGCTATAAAGGACATTATTGGGATAAGTGATGAAATTTGAATAAAATCTGTATCAATTTGTCAGTGTTAATATTAATTTCCTGGTTTTGATCACTATACTGGATTATATAAGAGAATTCCCTTGTTTTAAGAAATATTTAGATGGTCATATCTGCAACTTATCCTTATAGCATTCAAAAAAATGTACCTTATTACATATATAAAGACACATATATACATTTATTTTTTTATCTGAGAAAGACAAGTATCATTCTTTGAAATATTCTTGCAACTTTTCTAGAGCTGACATTATATCAAAATACTTTTTAAAAACAGTATTTTTTTTTTAAGTAATACACAAACTTACTGAAGCTGGGACTGGATCTAATTTGTCCCCTTCCTCCATTCCTTTACATCAGTCCTATAACAATTTCTAAAAGTTGCCATCTATTGAGCATTTGAGCCAGACACTATTCTAAAGAGGTTTACATATATTATTTAATTTAGTCCTCTGGACACTATGAATTGGGAGTTGTTATTATTCCTGTTTCACAGATGAGAAAATTGAGGCTTAAAGAAATAATGTAATTTGCCTTAGCAGGTCTGACTCCAGAAGATGTTAATAATGATTTTCAAAACATTTTTCCTGTCTAGGACGGACTTCACAATTCCTCACCCAGACTACTCTAAAAACCTCCAGTCTTTTGATTCCCTTAAAACTGTCCCCCAAATATTTAAAATGCAAATCTGACTATATCACTCATTAGTACGTTAATATGAATAGTATTCTTCTTGGTTAGTATACCATATGCTCTCCATGATCTGGCTCCCACCTACTTCTCCAGCCGATTCACTACTGTCCACATCACTTTAAACTCCACCAGCACTAAACTTCTTGTAGCTCTACACCCATATTGTGTTGCTTCTCTTCTCTTGTGCCTTTCCTCATGTTTTTCCTTCTGCCTGGAATGCCACTCCCCTAACTCCTGACTCTTTCATCTGGCTCACTCTTTCTCATCCTAAAGATTTAGCCCAGGCCTTGTTTTCTCCAGAGAGTGCTACCTGACTACCCCCGGCTAGTTTAGGACATCCCTCCCTGTGCTGCCACACAGGTTCATAGTTATGTTAACGTCTGTCAGCATCTCCCCCTTTCCTAACTTCATTTTTTCTAACCCAACCTTCATTTTGTTTAGGTATCCCTCGTCCTCCAGTGCTTCAGGGGAAGCTGACCCTATCCCTAGTTCAAGGGTTGGGCCCTGGTTAGATTAAGTCAATTCCCTAAAAACTGTTATTGGTTGGGATAACATAAAACCAAAATTGGCCCAATCACTTAAAGCAGTGGTTCTCAACCTTCTGGACCTTTAAGTACAGTTCCTCATGTTGTGACCCAACCATAAAATTATTTTTGTTGCTACTTCATAACTGTAATGTTGCTACTGTTATGAATCGTCATGTAAATATCTGATATGCAGGATGGTCTTAGGCGACCCCTGTGAAAGGGTTGTTCGACCGCCAAAGGGGTCGCGACCCACAGGTTGAGAACCGCTGACTTAAAGGAAGGACTTATATTCCATAGTTGGGTGAATGGTATTCTCTGCTCTGTCCTGCTGAGTGTTGCTAAGGGAAGGAGGTAGCCTTGATTTCCTCTGACAGTCTTACAGTCAGGATGAAAATAAGCCTTATGATGAAACAGCATTATAAGTAGAAGGGCTAAGAGACAGAAAGAACCTACTTGATAACTGACTGAATTTTTTAATCAACTGGCCCGAGAAGCCTGCCTTATCTCTCTGTGTTCTGTTATAGGAGATCATTTCTTTGTTTAAGTGACTTTTAGTCCAGTTTCTACTGCTAACAGCCAAAAGCATTATGAAATAAGTTGCAGGTACTGAATTAATAGTCAATTCCCAATACTAAATGAAACACACAAAAAAGTAATAATTTTAGCACTTTGACCAGATTATGCTTTGCTGAAACTGTCCTTGAAAGAGAGGAAAATTCAAATACTTAGAGAAGACAGGTAAGTAATACCAAGAAAAGACTACAGATTGAATAAAGGCACAGAGGTAGAAATGTCTGTAATGATTTCAGAGGCTAGTGAATGGAGGAGTCTGACTAGAGTAGATAGTTTATAAAGGGAAAGAAAACTGGAAAAGTAGGTAAATTCACAATGTGGAAGCCTTCAACATTTTTCTCGAAAAGTAAAGCCTCTCCAATAAATAGTGTTGGAAAAACTGGAAAGCCACATGCAAAAGAATAAAATGAGACTGCTATTTGACACCATACCCAAAAATTAACCCAACATGGATTAAACACTTAAATATAAGATCTGAAACATTAAAAACATAGAAGAAAACATAAGTACCTAAACTTACAGACCTTGGTCTCAAACTGGCTGTTATGAACCTGACCCAAAAGCAAGGGAAGTAAAAGCAAAAATAAATAAATGGAACTACATCTAACTAAAAAGCTTCTGCACAGGAAAAGAAACCATCAACAAACCAACCAACCAAAAAGGCAACCAACCAAATGGGAGAGGTATTAGCAAACAATACTCCAATAAAGGGCTAATACCCAAAATATATAAGAAACTCATGCAACTCAACAACAAAACAATCCTATTAAAAATGGGCAGAGGACCTGAACAGACACTTTTTCCAAGAAGACATACAAATGGCCAAGAGATATATGAAAAGATGCTCAACTTTGCTAGCTATAAGGGAAATACAAATCAAAATCACAATGAGATACTACCTATTAGAATGGTTATTTTCAAGAAGACACAAAATAACAAATGCTAGAGAAGATGTGGAGAAAAAGGAATCCTCATTCATTGCTGGTGAGAATGTAAACTGCTATGGCCACTATGGAAAGCAATATGGAGGTTCCTCAAAAAAAAAAAATGAGAATAGATCTACCATGTGACCCAGCAATCCCTCTACTGGGTATCTACCAAAAAATTTTGAAAACATTTATTCATAAAGATATATGTACCCCTATGTTCATTGCAGCATTATTCACAGTAGCCAAGACATGAAAATGGCTTAAGTGTCCTTCAATAGATAACTGGATAAAGATGATGTGGTACATATATATAATGGGATACTACTAAGCCATAAGAAAGGATAAAATACTGCCATTTGCAACAACATGGATGGATCTTGAGAGTATCGTGATAAATAAAATATGTCAGACAGAAAAGGAGAAGAACCATATGATTTCACTCCTATGTATGATATAAAACAGAAGTCAACAAACAAAACAAAACAAACTCATAGACACAGACAACACTATGGTGGTTACCAGAGGAGAAAGGGTGGGGAGAGGATGAAGAGGGTAAAGGGGTGCCAAATACATGGTCACCAAAGGAGACTAGACTTTGGGTGGTGAGTACACAATGCAATACACAGGTGATGCATTATAAAATTGTACACTTGAAACATGTAATGTATTAACCAATGTCACCTCAATAAATTTAATTTTAAAAATAGTAAGTTTTCTCCAGTTTTTTTTAAACCACAATTTGTTTCAACTTTATCAGTGATGTGTTTTTTTTCTTAGGCATTAGTCATGGGTTCATGGCTAATTTTGTACCTTTTTAAATCTCTTAAATTTTCCATTCTAAAAAGAGGTATATAATTTCCATAAAAGGCATTGTTTTGTTGTTTTTTTTTTGGGGGGGGGAGTTCATTATTCTTTTCATTTATAATTGTCCAAAAATATCTTCATAAACATTAACCTTTGCCCTCTAAAATTTGCCCAGCTATTGTGGCTTACTGGTTGAGCATCAACCCATGAATCAGGAGTTCATGGTTTCATTCTGGTCAGGGCACATGCCCGGGTTGTGGGCTCGATTCCCCACTAGGGGGCGTGCAGAAGGCAGCCAACAATGATTCTCATCATTGATGTTTCCATCCCTCTCTCTGAAATCAATTTTAAAAATTAAATAAAATTAAACCAGTTTACTAGTGTAAAAACAAACCCAAGTTTCCATTCAAAATATAGTACTACATGATTGTGAATTCTACGAAATTATAATACCTCAGAAATGTAACGATCAGCTTGTTTTAGTAATTCCCCAATAATTAGAACATTTGAAGTAGTACCATCTCCTGTAATGTCATCCTGGGCTGTTGCTACTTTAGCTATCAAGGAAGCTGTTGGGTGTTGAATTTGCTGGAAAAAGCAAGCAACAGATTTAAAAAAGAGAGAGAATAAAGAAATAAAGAAATAGTCTGCCAAAAACAAGATAACCTAAGGGTCAATAGTAAAATCAAGAAATGAAATAAGGGTGAAGGCCTGGAGAGGGGAAGGGAATAGGAAGGGGGGCGGTGGTCAATGGGGGAAGAAAGGGAGACATCCATAATACTTTAAACAATAAAGATTTTTTAAAGAAATGAAATAAGCATCATTCTACAAGTTCACAAGTTTTGTATTATCAGTTATTAATAAATGTCAAGACTGAGAGTTAAAAGTTGAGAACTAATGAGATTTGAACATTTTATAAGAGTCTTTGCTTCAGAATGCAATGACATTTCCAAAATTAGATTAAATCCTTAAATCTCAAAGATGAATATATTTACCAAAATTGCAAAGGACTTTTTACTTTTCCATGATTACAAAGAACATAATGTGATGCCTTTAAAAGATTCAACTAATTTGGAAGCATCCCTAAGCTATTACTAAAACTATACTAAGATTTGAAAACAGCCAAAAAAAATTTTTTATTGAGGTTTAATCCAACAAGTATACCTCATGATTGCAATATTTAGCTGAAAGCCTTGGTTTAAAGATATACAAATTGTATTATGCTCTCAGTTAAGGCTTATTAAGGTTTATTAAAGTCAGCAGCAACAGCTCACCATCTCATGAAGCAGCACATTGCCATCTTTGGTGAGTTTGATATCACCTGCACCAGAAACAAGCCTGTTCAGAAAACAGTGATGTTATTAACTTCGTATGGCAAGAGTCAAGCAAGACATAGCGCTTGCCACTCCACTCTCATTAATATAGGGAACTGGGCTTGGAAAACTTCCATCATCCGGAGAGATACCACAGTAAGCCCCTCATTTGCAGCCCACAGAATCACTTTTCCCCAGATGGACTGCTATGGTGATTTCACTCCAAATGGACAATTTACAAGTTTAAGGATTAAGTGCAGTTGGTGAGTTATGACAGTGGTTTGGTCCAGAAGAGTACTTGGAAGTCTACAAGCCACACATTTGTGAATTTCCTGCAGGTTTATTTTGGCGAAATGTTACCATTCATTCACTCAGTGTAGTTTCTTCCCTCATCCCTCACATTTATTAGAGCATCAAATTCTGTCATTCTACAACCTAAAAGCCTCTTCCAACTACTCCCTCCTCTCCATTTCCAGTCATCATCATCTGCAGTGTGGACTATTTAGTATCCACATATATCTGAATTTGAATCTACCCTCCATTTATCTTTCTATAAAGCAGGATGACTCAGTCAGCTCACTGATCAAAAATCCTCCAGCCCAGCTGGTGTGGCTCAGTGGTTGAGCATGGACCTATGCACCAGTAGCTCATTGGTTCAAATCCCAGTCAGGACACATGCCCAGGTTGTGGGCTCTATCCCCAGTGTGGGGCGTGCAGGAGGCAGCCAATCAATGATTCTCTCTCATCACTGATGTTTCTTTCTCTTTCCCTCCCTTCTTCTCTGAAATCAATATATATATATAAAATTTTAAATTCTTCAATGATTTTCATGTTCTCCATCATTTTCAAGGTAAAATGCTTACTACTCAGCAATGACATAGTTGACCCGTTCCCATCTGGTTGTATCTATTTAAAATGTTTCATCTACAAAATGAAATCTTGTGGGCAAATCTTATGGTTCCCTTAATACATCACGTTTGTTTTTGTTTCTCTTGGGTTTATGCCAACTGATTTTCTTGTTCCTGAAGTTGCTCTATCTAAAAGACCTTTGCTCACTTCTCCAGCTGGTGAATTCTAACTCATCTTTCAAGACTCTGATAAAAAAAAAATAATAATAATCCGTTATTTGAATCTTTTCCTTCCCCATTATCCCATCAATAATCAGTCCCTTTCCTTGGTGTTATATATTATATGATTAAAAATACAATGCCTGGCACATATTTTTAAACGTATATATAATATTATATAGAATATACATCACATTCGTTCCTAACAAGTCCCCTTAAAAACTAAAACTTTATCTTGGTCATCTCTGTGTTCTCAGCATCCCATAATAAGCACCCTCTTTTACTGTTAATGTATTTTGCTCATTCCTGAGGCTGTATGTCTCCTCTTACACCTTTTACTGTTAATTTGCTCATTCCTGAGGCTGTATCTCTCCTCTTACACTTTTTTCTGTTAATTTGCTCATTCCTGAGGCTGTATGTCTCCTCTTACACCTTTTACTGTTAATTTGCTCATTCCTGAGGCTGTATCTCTCCTCTTACACCTTTCTCTGTTAATTTGCTCATTCCTGAGGCTGTATCTCTCCTTACATCTTTTTGCCCTCGCTCGTCTTTCCTTCACTCTGTCCTAAATAATGGTGCTAAATAAATACATGCTTAATGGATGAACAGATATGAAGAACCCTAGGCACAGAGCATCCAAGTAACTTGCCAAAGGACTCGCAGATGGAAGGGAAACTGGGAATTGAACCCATACCTGTCAGGCTCCAAAGCCCATGCCCTCCCCACACCTGCCGACCATCACCAAAACGAGGGGCCTACAGGCTCACAGCCTTAAGGAGCAGGGGCGTCAGATGGCTTAGGTTTCACTGGAAAAACTGAACTTTCAAACTGCATATGAACCTTAACGGAAAGTTGGTGGGGGGGGAAGGGGCGGGACAGGGAGTCACAGCTTCCCTCGTGGGGCCTTTTGCTCGGGGAGGCTTTTCTCCTCCTCCTCCCGCACGGGGCTAGAGACGACCTCAGGGCAGGAATGAGAAGGAGGGAATCCAGGCCCACAAGTGTGTCCACATGGCGCCGATCGCTTCGCGGAACGTCGGCCGACATCGCGCCCCGACACCCGACACACCCCCGGCGCCCTAACCGCCGCTCTAACCGCCGGTCCGACCGCCGCCTCACATTTTCATGGTGCCCTTCGGACCCAAGTTGGTCCGCAGCACATCCTGCAGCCCTCGGGCAGCGCATATATTGACCGCCAAGGCCGCCTGGGCCCGCGCCACCTCGGCCTTGGCGTTTAAGGTCTTGATGGCAGCCATAGCAGGACGGTGGAAGGACCACCTGACCGCCCCGAACAGCCCGAGCCGCGATTCTGAGGTAAAACCCAGCGCCTTGGTCCACGCTCAGGAGCTCCAGCCAATCCTCGCTCGGGACGGAAGTGACGGCATCACGCATCGCCGAGGCGGAAGCCAGACTCGCCGTGGGTCAGGTCGCAAAGATGGCGTCCCCCGCTTCGGCTCGGCCTTCGGCCGGAAAGCGAGTGGTGAGTCAGGATGAACTGCGGCGGTTGATGAAGGAGAAGCAGCGTCAGAGCACCAACAGGAAACGCATAGAGTCTCCATTTGCGAAGTACAACCGTCTGGGGCAGCTGAGTTGTGCCCTGTGTAACGCCCCGATTAAGAGCGAGCTCCTGTGGCAGACGCACGTCCTGGGGAAGCAGCACCGGGAGAGAGTGGCCGAGCTGAAAGGCGCCAAGGAGGCCACGCAGGGGCCGGCCGCCGGCGCAGTGCCTCTGCCCGCCAAGAGGAAGGCGCCGGACTCCGACGGCCAGGACGCCAAAAGGCCGAGGGCCCCCCAGGTGCCGCCGGTGCAGCCCTCCACGTCCGCTTTGCACACCCACGTTGACAAAGCAGGAAAGGAGTCCACTAGAGCGACCCCCGGTAAGGCTTCGGCACTCGGTTTACTCCCTGATTATGAAGATGAGGAGGAGGAGGAGGAGGAGGAAGAGAAGGAGAAGGGAGGAGAAAGGCCAGAGGGGGACGCCAGCAAGCAGCCTCCCGACACACAGGGCAGGGAACACCCACTTTCCTCCCCGCGGGAGGCAGCAAGCAGCGGGCTGCCTAGAGACTTCTCGACTGCAAATCCTCCCAAGGCCCCTGTAATTCCTCACTCGGGGTCCATTGAGAAAGCAGAAATACATGAGAAAATCGTGGAAAGGAGGGAAAACACTGCGGAAGCATTGCCGGAAGGCTTTTTTGACGACCCTGAGATAGATGCGAGGGTGCGAAAGGTTGACGCCCCGAAGGATCAGATGGACAAAGAGTGGGACGAATTTCAAAAGGCCATGAGACAGGTCAACACTATTTCCGAAGCCATCGTTGCTGAAGAGGATGAGGAGGGGCGGTTGGACCGGCAGATTGGGGAGATCGATGAGCAGATAGAGTGTTACCGTCGGGTGGAAAAGCTGCGGAATCGCCAGGATGAAATAAAACATCAGCTTAAAGAGGTCCTGACGATGAGCGAGCTGCAGAGAAAGGAAGAGGAGAATGTTGACAGCGACGATGAGGGAGAACTGCAGGATTTGTTGTCTCAGGATTGGAGGGTGAAGGGGGCTTTGTTATAGGATTTCAAGGACCCAGTATTTCTAATACCCATAAAAAAGTGCTCTCTCTCCATATACTGGTTACTCCATTCCTGGAGGTTTGATAACCTGGCGAGGTTGTTGCAGTACAATATGAGCCTGTGAAAATGGCACTGTGGAAAATTGGTGTAAAATATTTTTGAGGTAAAGTTTTGAAATTTTTTCAGTGTTATATGTTAAAATGCCAACTTTTTCACATATATACGGATTTAAATGTATACTTTGGGGTTGGAAAATCTGTAAGCTGTAAATATTGTACATAGTTAAATATATATTTGCTTAATTCTGTTTTTGAAATTTACAAATTAATAGAAGGAGGACCAACAGACAAGCTTTTTGATGAATACCAAGTGTATTGGGACCCCCCTAGGTCAAACTCAAGAGGGTGGGAGAGTTTTGCATTGTTTTTAAGAACACTACTCATAGATTCATAAGTCATTCACAGCTAATCAATTCTCTGTATTCTGTTTCAAACACGTGCTGTAGGAGAACATGGTGAAAAATATATGCCAAACATGACCAGCCTCCTTAACCCAAAGTTTCTCTCGAGTAAACCAATGATTCTTGGATGTAGGTGCACATGAAGATCACTTAAGCAGCTTTTTTTTTTCCTAATGTTTTTTATTTCAGAGAGGAAAGGAGAGAGAGAGAAACATCAATAATGAGCATCATTGATTGGCTGACTCCTGCACGCCCCCCCCCCGCCCCCACTGGTGATCGAGCCTGCAACCCAGGCATGTGCCCTTGACTGGAATTGAACCCCGTCAAAAATGAGTAGTAATAATAATAACCAAGGTTTATATAGTTCTTACAATATAAGTGAGGCAGGATTCTAAATGCTTTACATACACTCAGCCTAGTTTCCTTAAAGACCAGGTATTATGGAGGAGAGGAACCAGAGATAAGGTTTTAAAAAGCTTTGAATGCTAGATGAAAGAATTCTTCCTGTAGGCAATGTGGGAGAAGTGGAAATTTTTGAGCAAAAAATTATATCTGTTAAAAACGTATGGAAGATGACTCAAGTTGCAGTATACACCATAATATTGTATATAATAGGGAATATATATTCTGTGTGGAATGGAATGAGCATAGATAGGGGAAAAGGAAGCTGGCAAACTACTTCTAAACTAGATTTTTAAAGTATAGTAGACTTTAATTATGGATTGAGAGAAAAGGAATAGATGTGAAAGAATTTCACAGGAAGAGTTAACATTTCAGTGACTAGAAATGGAAAAAAAAAAAAAAAACCAGGAGAGAGAAAGATAGAATTGAAGGGTTTGGCAGAGTTTTTTAGTGTATATGCCTTAAAGAAGTTATCTGACACTTACTGAGAATATTCATTATCTTACTGCTTTTGGTAAAAAGTCTTTGCTTTCTTGAGCTGTCAGCTGATTGGTGATAGCAACTTCAGTTTGATAACATAGAATGGGCATGCCTGCTTCAACTATATGAAAGAAACCACTTACTCAGAGTTTTCTATCATTCATTGTTTATTATTTCAAAAGATGAGAAGGTACAAAGATGGACTTGAATGGTTGGTCCAGTTTTATGTTGGCTTAAGAGGCGAGGCTAATGATGTAGAGCACTGTCCATTTAAAAATACAATGCAAAACACATTTTTTTTAACTTTTCTAGTAATTGCATGAAAAAAAGAAATGCGAAATTATTTTCAATAAATTTAATCCAACTATATCCAAAATACTAATGTTTCAACATGTAATCAATATTTAAATACTAGTGAAATATTTTACAATTTGGGGGTTCTACATTTATGAAATTTGGATGTATCTAACACATCTCAGTTTAGACTGGCCACATTTCAAGTACACACTAGCCCTATGTGACTAATGGCTACCATAAAGGACAGTGGAGATTTAAAGAGAAAAGTATACAGGTGGAGCACTGGCCAGTGTCCTCAGTGGTTAGAGCATGGGCCCATGCACAGAAGGGTTTCAGTTCAATTCCCAGTCAAGGGCATGTACCTGGGTTGCAGGTTTGATCCCTGGCCCCAGTTGGGAGCACATGCAGGAAGCAACCAATCGATGTGTGTCTCTCACATCAGTGTTTCTCTTTCTCTTTCCCCTCCCTTCCACTCTATCTAAAAATCAATAGAAAGATATCCTCGGGTGAGGGTTAACAAAAAAACAAAAACAGGTATATAGGTGGGAAAATTAAATATGCTCGGGTAGTGGGCGGAACAATTTAACTACAGTAGTGTTCATTCCTGACAATGGGAGTTATTGAAAAGGTAGATTATAAACCACTGTGGAGGCCCTCAACTGCCATGCTGTAAAGAGTTGGAACTTTATCTAAGGTAACAATTGAGTGCTCTTTTTTTTTTTCAAACAATCGCTTTATATATATATATTTGTATTCCCGGCCCCCCGCCCAAGAGAGGGAGAGAAACATCAATGATGAGAATCATTGATCAGCTGCCTTCTGCACGCTCCCTACTAGGGATTGAGTCCACAATCTCGGGCATGTGCTGACGTTCTATCCACTGAGCCAAACCAGCTAGGGCAGTGGTCAGCAAACTGCGGCTCGCGAGCCACATGCGGCTCTTTGGCCCCTTGAGTGTGGCTCTTCCACAAAATACCATGTGCAGCGCGCATGTACAGTTCGATTGAAACTTCGTGGCCCATGCGCAGAAGTCGGTATTTTGTGGAAGAGCCACACTCAAGGGGCCAAAGAGCCGCATGTGGCTCGCGAGCCGCAGTTTGCCAACTACTGAGCTAGGGCAACAATTGAGTATTCTTGAGGTTGTTGAGTTCTCAATTATAACACAGTTAAAGAAGAGCTTAAGTACTGCCAGGTATGTTACTACACACATAAACCCCATTGAATTTTTAGGAAGTCCAAAAAAGCTCTCAAAATCTGCTCCCAGTGCATGAGTGATGGGATCTTGACCAAAATCAAGTGAATCCTTGTTAGATCTGAGAGCCATATAAACAGCTACACACATTGGAGAGCTCCTTTACACCTCTTTGAACTGGGTCAAATGGGTTTTGGCATTAGACTGAATACCACCAATGTTCCCAAATTGTGAGAATTAGTCCCAAGATTTCTTCCAGTCTCTTGTTCTCTTTTTAGAGAACCCCATAATTTAGCCAACAATACATTAGAATTATTATAAATGCTACAAAGGTAATCCTCTCACCCACTTACCAGTTTAATACAGTTCCCCTACGTGGAGAAGAAAAATGCTGATTTCCTAACTAGCCTTCAAATGTACATTTGCCCAGTGCCTTACAATCTACAAAATGCTTTCATTTAATGATGGAAGTAATGACTACCTTTTACATGCCAGGGAACAAAATAAGAGGCTGTGGAATTAAAATTGCATGAAAAAGAATATAATTTAGACCTAAAACCTTTAATAGTAACAATTCCTAGATTAGTATGGAGTAACAGGAAGAACAAGAAAATTGGCAAGAGAAAATAAGACTCAGGTTCCCATTCTAGCTTTTAATGGCTAGTGATCTTGGGAAAGTCACCTCTCTGAACCTTAGTTTGCTTCACTGTAAAATGATGATACCTCACAGGGTGTGGTGAGACTCAAATGACATGTGAAAGAGTGGTAAAAAGACCAACCTGACTCTTGAAAGTCAGAACCAGAAAGAGGTTTAAAAAATTAAATATATTTTTATTGCTTTCATTGAGGAAGGGAAGGAAGAGAGGGGGATAGAGAGATAGAAACTTCAATGATGAGAGAGAATCAGTGATCAGCCACCTCCTGCATGCCCCCTAACCCGGA